ACATTGGGGCAAATTTTTCATAAAGGTGATATCTGATTCTGTAAGTGAGTTCAATATTTGTTTAGAAAAATAACGAAAATTGCTTCACACCTTTTTCTTTTAATTGGAACGCATTTTCATTTCTTCGTTTATTTTGTTGGGTTTGAATTTTATCCCACAAACTATTTATTTTGTTGGGTTGAGTATTATCCCACCTACCGTTTATTTTGTTAAATTCGAGTTATATCCCACTAACCGTTTATTTTGTTGGATTTAGATTTTATCCCACAAATAATTTATTTATTGGGTTTGGATTTTATCCCACTAACAGTTTATTTTATTGGATTTGAGTTTTATACCAAACGTTTATTTGTTGGGTTTGGATTTTATCCCACTCAATCGTTTATTTTGTTAGATTTGGATTTTATCCCATCAACCATTTATTGTTGGGTTTGAGTTTTATCCCACAAATCATTTATTTGTTGGATTTAGATTTTATCTCACGAACCATTTATTTTCTTGGAATTGGATTTTATCCCACCAACCATTTTTTTATTGGGTTTGAGTTTTACCCCACCAACCATTTATTTTTTGGGTTTAAATTTTATCTCACAAATCATTTATTTTGTTGAATTTGGGTATTATCCCACCAACCGTTTATTTTATTGGGATTGAATTTTATTCCACCAACCATTTATTTTGTTGGAATTAAATTTTATCCCACCAACCATTTATTTTGTTGGGTTTGGATTTTATGCCGCCAATCGTTTGTTTTGTTGGATTTGGGTTTTATCCCATACGCCGTTTATTTTGTTGGGTTTGAATTTAATTCTACCAACTATTTATTTGTTGAGTTTGAGTTTTATCCCACCAACATTTTATTTTATTATATTTGGATTTTATCTCACCAACCATTTATTTTGTTCTGTTTTGGTTTTATCCCACCAACCATTTATTTTGTTGGGATCGAATTTTATCCCACCAACCTTTCATTTGACAGGTTTGAATTCTCCAATCCGTTAGGTTTTACTAGTTGTCTAAAGATGGGTTATATCCTACAGATCAATCTAGTTTCAAGAATAAATTTTTGCTAATTGTTTGGGACTAAGATCCCATGATCGATTTAAATGCTTACTAATTTCAATGTTGTTTAAAACTCGTTTTGTTTCTTTTGATTCAGTTGCATTTAAAGCATACAAGTAAATAATTTGGTGTATACATTTTTATCTTAAGATTATTTGAAATTCAGATAAAGAGGGGTAAGTTGTAAATACCAAAATTTTATTATCTTCTTTATTCCATTTTTATTTCATTTTTAATTTATTGCTATTTCTTTTTTTCTAAGAAAATCAATTTTACTTTATTTGATTATTTACTTTGCTTTGTAGGAAAAAAGTAGAAAAAAAACAAAACAAAATGAAAAATATCATCTTTCAAAATAAAAATAAAAAAATTCTGCCCCACGCGCGTGTGTTGCATCACCTTCTTCATTCGTACCGACTTTTACATAATTACACTAAGGCCCAAAAGATTGTGAAAAATGAATCAAGTCTTCCCTTTTCAAGCCTTGATCTTCTTTTGTATATTTTATGTATGCTTTGAGTGATTTGTTTCTGGATTTACCATGTAATTAAGGCTTAAATAATTTTGTTGGATATAAATTACCTAGTTAAATATTTTCTCTTTTTTTCTTTGGGGATTTAGGAAAATAATTTAAGAAATGGGCCAAGGTTATTTGTTGGGTTTTGGTAAATGGATTTGCTTTTATTTTCTTTAGGTTATGACATGGACTTCGGAACTAAAGCCCAACGTTTTTGGTTGGCCTTGTTTTAGTAAAATAAATGGACTAGCCCATCCTTTTCTTCAGGTTTTCCTTTGGACCAAGGAAGTTATGGCCCATAAAAAGAAACAAGATGGTCCAAAGGCCTTCTGGCCTTGAGAAATCAGAAAATGGAATTTGCAATTAACCTCCAGATCTTTTAAGTAACTTTACCATGGCCATAAAACTTTTGATTTCTTTCAATTAGGTCATTAATTTAATTGCATTTTGGTTCCTAAATTTTATCTTTTATTCAATTTTTACCCTAATTTTTCAATAATTATAATTTAGCCCTAAAAACTTTTCAATTTTTTGCAATTGGATCCCTGATGGTTTTGATCTCTTAAGTATGATTGTTTAACTCATTCCATGGTTAATCATGCTTCATTTAAATGCGTTTAATTAATAATTTTAGGGATTTTATGTTTATTTATATTTTTGTATAATAATAAAGTGAATTTGCTATAAGTTTGCATTTTCTTTTAAATTGTTAATTAAATTGGTGTCTTGACCATTTTGTTGATTTTGGAGTATAAATAGGGCAAATTCTACCTCATTTAACCACTATTTCAAGAGAGGTACCTTCTATTATTATTTTAGATTCATTTATGTGATCCTATGTGATTTTATGTGTGATTGCATGTTTTAAGTGCTTTTTCTTTTATTTATTCATTTTATTCATTTAAAGTTTTAGTTTGTTTTATTTAATTTTTTATGATTATTTTGGAGGCATTGAAATGTCAAATTATAACAGATATGTGCCCAAGAAATGTATTTAGTTAGATCATGTAATAGATAGATTTTATTTTTGCCAAAAATGTAATTAATTAGATAAATGTAATAGATAGGTTTATTATTTCCAAAAATTCCCCTTCTAGATTGTAGTTAGAGCCCCCAATGTAATAGATAGTTTTTATTTGCTTGCATGCTTGTGTGCTTATGTGTTTATTCACTTTCTTTAAAATTTTGCATCTAAATGTCATGACTATATGTTATGTGTTTTATGTGTTTATTTGCTTCAATTATACTTTACATGTTTATTTATTTATAATAAATGCATAACTTCACCACACTAGTCCAATGTTAGTTGTGGCATTTCTCCTCGATTTTTCACTAGTCTAACATTAGTGAGAACTTGTAGAAATGAGCTAATTCAATGTTAGACCCTTTAGACCGTTTATGCATTAGGTTCATACCTATGTGACACTTATTGCATTTCATGCATTTTTTCTATTTTTAGGTTATTTTCATTTGCATGATATTTTTTCTACTGTTATTCCCTTATCCTCTATATGTTTGGATCATATCATTTAGAATTACATTTTATTTTAGAAAATTAGAAATAGGTTAGTCCATTTGTTTAATTAGGTTAGAAGAGTCATCCTTCAAATATGAAAAAATGAACGAGTATGATTTCTTAATATTAACACGCTCTTATTCCCTCTATAAAAGGGAAAATTAAGTCATGAATTTTAGCATCCAGTACTCGTTATATTGCATTCCCCTATTCTACATCATGTATATTTATCTATATATTATAATTTCTTTTTTTAGTCTCGTATTTCACATTTTTCATAATCTCTTCAAAGAATCATTTTTGGGCATCACAATTAATATGATTTGCATCAATTAAATTTTGAAGAGACATTCCGTCCCTGTCGATACCCCCTAAGTTTAGGTTTGCATCCATTTAGAAATACCCAAATGTGATAAGTTTATAGGCTAGATTAGGAAAAATTTTAACTAAATCTCATAACTAACCTTGATTAGATTAAAAGGGTGTCTTATATCAAATCTTTGCCTTCCATTTCTTTACATGTGACTTTCGAATTCTTTTCTCTTGTTTTCAAAAACCTGAAATCGGCTAAAAAGGTTTTTTTTTATTTTTTTTTCATTTTCAAACATTATAGGTGATTTGGTACACCTAAATTCAATATCAAGTGGCGATTCCTATTTTCCTTAAACACCCTTTTTAGACTAAAATTTTAGCCCAAACCGTCGGACTTTATATGTCCTATTTTAGGCCATTTTTCTTCATTTTTAAAATAAAATCAAAAATTCATTTTTAACATTCATTTTTTCTTTTATTTTTTTTCAAAAATAGGGTGCGACACCAAGAGCGTGAACCCAAAATTATTTTAAATTATCTCTCAATATATATATATATATATATATATATATATAAATTGTGCCTAATTCAATCTCACATACTTTTCAAGATCATATATATTTCATTAAACCCTTTAAAATCTTATATAATTTAATTATATCATACAAACTTTGACCTATTCTCATGATTAGGTTAAATATATCTTTTTTTATTTATCTAGTGCACGGCTACATATCCCTTTTCAATTCAATACAGATTCTAAGAGCATATCTATGATGGCCGGATACAAACATGTAATTAAATCAAAATAGATAAGCCAAGGTAATGGTATAGAATTTAAGTTGGATAAATAATCAGAACTCCTTCACAAAATCCTAATCCGAGATATAGATTAGTTCATAACAATAGTAAAAGTAAACAAGACTTCAATATTGAAAAATACAAAACTTAGAATAAGGAGTGTGTAGAACTTCCCAATTGATGAAACTCTCATGCACGTTAATCTCCCACTTTGATTCTTGAATCTCAAAATAAAAAATCCTAAAACTAATATCTAAACCAGTATTTTCTCACCTAAAAACGTCTTACGTACTCCTATTTATAGTTTTCTAAAATTTCGGTTGCATCTCAAAAGGAATAAGTTTCTTAAAGTTGAAGAAAATGAATCTTGTGTAGTTTTTCGAGGAAGTCGGGTGCCAAGACTAGCCACAAGTCCGGTGCCATGTGTGGGGCCGAGCATGGTGCGTAGTTGTTTCCATTGTCTTTTTCCATACAAAATCTATAAGTTTGGTCTTAAGTCTAGCCTCCACTTTTGGTTCAAGTTCCACGTGCAATTTCCAAGCCAAGTTGCATCAAATCAACACGTTTTTCTCCTCGACCTCACTTTTTCCTACAAAAACCACATCTATCCAAGTTAGACAAGTCCTCGTCTAATTAAAGCATGAAAAGGCACAATTAACCAACAATTGGAACATGTAACATTGCTAAAATCCACTCCCAATTAGTAGCAAAATATTTTTCTTTTTCTAAGCACAATTTTCATGTCCTATCATGGTTGCCTTGACATATAAGTTCTCTCTTTTTTGAACGCAGTATTTGTGAATGAAAAGATTTGCAAGTACCCAAAGGTTGTGAACGCTGACGATTTCTTCTTTCAAGGACTGAACAAACTTGGGAATGCAGCAAATCGACAAGGTTCTAATGTTACTGCTGCGAATGTCAACAATCTAGCTGGGCTCAACACTATGGGAGTTTCCCTAGCTGGTCTCGATTTCGTTCCTTATGGCCTAAACCCACCCCATACTCATCCTCGTGCAACCGAGGTCCTATTCGTGTTAGAGGGCACTCTTCATGTTGGTTTTGTCACTTCAAATCCTCCAAAAAACATCAAAAATCAACTCCTTATGAAAACGTTGAATCCAGGAGAAATTCCTCAGTACTCCCCTCTCTCTACCGTCAACTTTCTCTCTACTCTTCTTCCTCCATATGAGGGAGTTCTTGGCCTTAAAGCAAAGTCTCCCTTCATTTTCCTTTGTTCTCCCTTTATATTTCTTTGTTCTTACTTTTATTTAATAAAGTATCTCTTAAGAAATCTTGGTGTGAGTTTTCTTCTCTTCCAAACTATCCTAGTGAGAGTTTTGTATAGTTTTAATTTTTTTTTGTTATTTATTTTCTTAGATTTAAGAATTTCTTTAGATCTATATGCTACATCTAAAATTTCTTAGGTCTTCTCGTCAGATCTTAACATCATCTTTGAACTTGAACCAGCTGGATAGCAGATCTGAGGAAATAGACATGCATAGATATCTATGGAGCGGTTTGTTCAATTGGTCAAATTTGATGATTTGTGATTCACAGTGTAATTTTTTATATACTGTAACTTTGTTAAATCTTATGATTTTTCATATCAAATATATCTGTGATATGTTCAACATATTTTCTGCCATTGGTGCAGATTACTTTGTCAAACAAATCGTGCTAGGCGATTTCCAACTAGATGATTAATAATATTGACTTATGTTTTATCAAAAAAAAAAAAGGTTTGATTCACTTCCAATTTAATGTTGGGAAGATGAATGCTGTTGCATTTGCTGGTTTCAGCAGCCAAAATCCACAAGTCAATACTATTGCAAATGCAGTCTTTGAATCAAATCCTCCTATTTCTCTAGATAGTCTCACTAAGGCGTTGCTGCTTGACAATAAAGTCATTGACTTACTTGAGGCATAGTTTTCTTGTGACAACTCAAAAGCATCCATGAATTTGTTCTAAATTTCTACTAGCACTGCTGTTGTACTATGTATGCATAGGGCATTGCAAAGATTAATTGGATAATTTTAGAAACCTCCCTTGAGGTTTCCAAGGAGCTACGCTCAAGTTTCAAAAATTACATCTACTTCTCTTGCTTTTAAGGCTTATGTAACAATATAGGCCCAATAGTATGTATTTATTTCACAAATATCTTCAAATACTATTCTTCTAGAGAACAAGGTAAAACAAAGCAAGTTTTTAGCTCACTAAAGTAAATGGAGTCCAGCGATTCCAACTCACTTCAAAATCCATTACTCACTAATCTTGCCTAATGCGGCTTGTTGCCACCACTACCAATACTAAACCAAGAAATGCCCCCATGTCCCCAAAAACATAATTCATCATTGCTCTAGCACTCTTAGAAACAGAGGCAAAATTCTACCTTCATAGTAAAATCATAATTAATACCTAGAGATTAGTCATTACAATAGTAGGCCAAACGTAAGAAACTTACTCCAAAACAACCAAACAAAGCATCAACATTGAGAACTAATCTTCCAAATTCTTCAAAAATTACTTCTAATAAGTGACTAATTTGAGTTATATTTGAATGGCATATTATGTTATTTTTAGTCACTTTTGCAAAATTATAGGAAGAAAATGGATTATTTTGACTATAATTAGTTTAAATGCTCTTAAGTGATTAAATGAGGTTTATGTTACTTTTTACTTTCATTTTGTCCATAATTTTTATAGGAGTTGGAAATAGACTTCATTTGGATGAAAAGGAAAGTTGACAGTTTTGATACATTTTCATATTTTGGCTATAACTTGAAAATAATGATCGGATTGAGATGATTCTTAAATTATTTTGAAGATAAGAGATAGATATACAATTTTTGTGAAGACATCGAAATCCAGTTTGAAGGTTTTCTTGGTCAAAAAGCCAAATTACAACAGCCAATTTCTATGGTCGAAACTGAAACAAGATATTGAGCAGTCAAGGGTATTTCAGTCATTTCTCAGCCTACACAAATCCAAATGAGATGATTCTTGGTGCATTGGAAAGCTAACCCAAATGACTACAAGTTTTATGTTTGATCAAGAGCTAATTCAGCTTCTATCATTGAGAAAAGTTCAGTTGAAGTTGATGCAAAATTGGAATGACCTTGAAGATTGAACAGAAATTAGAAAGAAAGGCAGGGGAGAAATCCGGCCGGATTCTGGTTAGAAATGGCTTCTCTCCACTTGTACAACTTGTTTCCTCCTCCAATAATTCACAGCTATTGATGGACGTGTGACAACCACTTTGTAGCTATAAAAAGGATGTTTGAAGCCTCATTTCTTGACTACATTCCTCTATAAATAGCCATGGACTTGCAAGGATAAAAAGAGTTTGGAGACTGCAAGAAATACCACAAAAAAGTAGATCTTACATTTTCTTAGTGTTAGGTTAGTATAGTATAGGATAGTTTAACTAGTTAGTTCATCATCCTTGTTTGTTAGTTAGGTAGAGATGAAGAAGGAGATGAAGGTGGAGGACATGAACTCATGTGACAAGGGTTACATTTCTTTCCTAACTCTTTATCTTTTGTACTTGATTCTATTGTTTAGTTAATATACAAGTTTGAATTTTATATTTATTATGTGTTTCTAAAGTTTATACCTTGGGTTTGGTTGAACTTCTTATGATTGTTAGTGTTTATTATTTGGCTATTTGATACTATTATTTTGGGCAAGTTATTTAGCACTTTAGTTCTTTAAATCATGATTAACATGGTACCATTAATTGCGATTATCTAAAGGTGTTGTGTCTTTGATAGGTCATAATTTGTTGCTAAATTTATAATTATTCTTCTCTTGATTTTAGCCAAACATTGCTTTAATTGTCGAATTCTACTTATATCTGGTTAATAGTACTAATTATAGGAAAAAGAGCAAAACGTGACAAAAATGGGCAATTTTCTAGCTAGTTTGGTGGTGGCACATTCAAGTCCAGATTCTCGGGATTTAGTGCACGTGAAAAGCTTCCAAAAATGCATCAAGTAGTTGGCTACAAATTAGGAAGCTAGTAGGCCACTCCCAAGAAAAAGAAAAGCTGAAGAAGTTGACTTGTAATAGGCCTTTATTCTAAGAAGTTGATTGGTACTAGAATACCAATCCATTAGGAGTCAAAGTAGGAAAGAAATCGTGAGACAATTTGTTTCCATATTTTGTGTGGCTAGAGACGTGAGGGCATGGTACTTGGTCTTTATTTTCTCCTTAGCCAACTTTTGGGAGGAGAAAACAAAAAAAAAAAAGCTTCGAACAATTATTTGCATGTCTTGTTCTCCACTAATGGAGAACTAATTTCATACTTCTAGTCAAGAGAACAACTGAAGATTTGGTTCAACAATAATTATGAGATCTAGATTATTTTAACTGTTTCCTTTATTTATTGGTATTTGTATGTTTTCTGCTTTTAATTGTTATAGCTATTGTGCATGATGGAATAGATGCACAATATTTAATTATTCACGTAATCTATTTACTAATTGAGGGTAGTTGAATTCATAATTGTTCGATTACTTTCGTCCCGGTAGCAACTGACATAATTAGGTTTATGTCAGGAAAACATACAATCTAACTTAAACAAACCCTCGTAGCATGTTTGTTAGTTAGGGTTGGGCTTTTCTAATTTTTAATGCAATCTAGAAATTAAATCCTACGGTCATACCTACGGTTATTTCTTGGTTAAAGAAATAGCTAACGGTCGTACCTTGACTATCGAAAAAGTAAGAAAAAACTGGTTGTTTATCGCGTGTATGACAGCTATAATCATCTTATTAATAAATGTCGGAATTATATTTGAATCGATGATCAGTTGCATGAACCATTTTTGAAGTGTATCCTTGGCTAGAGTTTTCTCAATTATTTATGTCAATTAATCATTTTTTGCATTTGATTTATTTAGTTAGTAATTCCCTAGCATTCAATCCTCAAACCCCTCGTTTGTCTTGATTCGAAAGAAACGAACTTTTCTCCAGTCCCTGAGAAGACGACCTTGCTTGTCACTATCTACTAGTTAGTAAATTTTGTCAGTTAATTAATTCTGGTATATCGGATTAAGCAAACTCTTTGAAAACAAGGTGAATCAAGTAATCCATTGCACATCTAGAGTCCCTGTTATAGTACCTCGAATTGATTATTGACTGCTTTTGGTGGTAGTTAGGTTTTATTATTATATTTGCATAGGCTCGGCACCTGTCAATTTTTTACGCCGTTGCCGGGGATTGGTGCCTAATTAATTTGTTTCTTTTGAGTTCATCTTATTTTTATTTTTTATTTTTCTTTTTTTTAATGGCCGCTAACAATCCTTATTTTGGTGATGGATTGGATTTTATTCCTACGAAAGGAAATGAGGCTTGTTCTTTTTCTGATGATCGATATTCAGATTCACTCAGTTTTCTTACAGAAAAAATGGCTGCTACAACCTGTGGAATTTGTTATACCATGGATCATTCAACTGGTATGTGCTTTGAATATCAAGATTACCTGAATGCCTATATGAATAAGTTTGGAGGTTTTTCACCCAAATCTCAAACGTGGTATGACCCTTATTCAAACGGGTATAATCAAGGATGATGGGATAATTTCAATCTTGATTATGAGCAAAGGCCAATAAGTTTTTAACAGCAAGAGTCTCAACAAGCATCATCCATGTCAGGTATGTCTCTTGAAGAAATAGTTGAATTAATAACTACTAACACATATCATTTCAACAGGAGACACAAAGAATGATTAAAGAGATGAAAGATGGAAGGCGTGAATTGGCATCTACAATGAATAAATTGATTTCTCCAATTTATGAAGAATTGCCCTCACAGACCAACATCGACCTTAAAGAAAATGAGAGTACAGTTATCCTGACAAGTGACATGGAACTGCACGAGTTTCACGAAGAAGAATCTAAAGATGCAGTTGAAAAGAAAATTGAAGTACAAGAAATGGAACCCCAATATCAAATTGTTCAAGTGGATGAATCCAGTGAACAATCTTCAATTGCGGTGACATCTCCTCTATTCTTTAATCAATATTCTCCTGACTCTTGTTCTTTAATTTCTGTTAATGAGATTGATTTTATTATGCCAGAAGATTTTGAGTTTCATGACAGGAATAAATTAAGAATCACGATGGCAAAATATCTCGAACCAATAAATGCTCGTGATGGAGGAGTGAGTGAAAAATTAAGGTCATTACTTGTTTGTTTGACACCATCTACAAATCCATGAAAGACCGTACCTTGTGTGCTCAATGATTACTCTATTTACGAGGGTTATTAGGACTATATAGAGGGTGAAACATTGAAACGAGTCACAAGATTTTATCCTCCGTAAATAAATAGGGCAATGTCTAGCCAAAAACATTAAAGAAAGGCGCTGCTTGAGAGGCAACCCAAGGTCTTTGTTTTGGTTTTTTTATGTTTCTGGAGTTTTTGTTAAGTGTTAGTTGCGTTTAGTGATTTGTTACTTTTGTGGCAGAAAGTTGGCAGTTAGACGTGACCATGCCAAGTGGTCATGCTTAAGGAAGGCAATTCTCGTCCGCAGGCAGAAGACTCTCCATGAGTTAGGCATGCCCACGCCAGGTGGTCACGCTTAAGGAACTCAATTTTTTAAGATTAGTCAGAAGACTCTTTGGTAGTTAGGCGTGCCCACGCTAGGTGGTCACGCTTAAGGATCTTAATTTTCATGGGTTGATCAAAAGACTTAAGAATAGTTAGGCGTGCCCACGCCAGGTGGTCACGTTTAAGAATCTTAATTTTTGTGGGTTGGTCAGAAGACTCAAGGGTAGTTCGGTGTGGTCACGCTTAAGGATCGTGGGTTGGTCAAAAGACTCAAGGGCAGTTAGGCATGTCCATGTCTAACGCAGTGGTTCAAAAAAAAAAAGAAATTTTTTTTTCTTCTTCTCCTTTCTTTTCTTTTTCTTTTTCTTTTTCCTTT